CTGCTGGACTCCGCCGTCGATAGTCACTCCTTCTTGCCAGCCTCTGGGCCGCCAGGCAGGTCGGCTGTGGGACTGTGGGCGTGGTCGCCGCGGGCTCGCCTCCGCCCGCGCCCTTGCCGTCGCCCTTGGCCTTGAGATCTGCCGCAGCCTGCGCTCTCTGGGCCGCCTCGAACTTGGCCTGAGAGAGCCTCGCAACTTCCCTCTTGAGCTCCTCCGAGGTCGGCTCGTCGGCCTGGTCGGCTCCCGCAGCCACATTCGCCGCAGGCACTGCCGTCGCCGCTGCCGCCTCCTTGGTCTGAGTGACCGCATCCTGACCCTCCTTCGTCTTCCTCTTTTTGCCCATGCGCTCCTCCACGTCCCTCTTGACCGAGTCCAGCTTGGCCATGAACGTCTGGAGCTATGAATCCTCCGCGGCGAAAGACTCCTGCGTGGTCTGCAGCTCCTTCTTCAAGTTGCGGAGGGCGACCTTGTCGGGCTCCTCGCACTCCCAATCCTCGAACTTGTCGAAAACCTCTGGGTGCATGTGGGCACTGAAGTGCACGCCCTTGCCTGACTGGTCCGCCGCCGCCTCGGCAGCGGACTTGGCGCCCTCTGCTTGGGCAAGGGCACGCGTTGCACTCCTTTTATCAGCCTCTGCCTTGGCGAGAGCCAAAGCGGCCTCCTGTTCCTTGGCCTCGGCGCTCTGGAGCTGGCGCCCGAGACGAAGCACCTGGCTCACCAGCTGATCATGCCGATGACTCGCCTGCTTCCAGGCGCCGTTGGCGCGCTTCACCGAGTCCACCGCCGAGATGTTGGACGCCGCCGCCTGGCCCTTCAGCATCGACCTCTGCTCGGCCAAGACGGCCTTCATCACTGGGTCGTCACTGTGCTCAGCTGCCTTGGCCAACAGCCCGTCGAGTTTCTTGGCTGCCTGGCCCTTGGCGCGCCGACGGCCTGGGCTGCGGTAGCGCGCGCCCTGACATGGCGTGGCCTGGTCACTCCCGTGGTCATCGATGAGCACCGCGTCGCCGTCGAAGGAGACCCGCCTGTCCACGGACGAGCCTCTCTGCTGGGACGGGTCGTAGAGCTCCACCTGCTTGCCACAGGACAGGCACTTCTTGTTGTTAGCCATCAGATTGGAATTGTACTCACAAGCCTTGCAGTGGATGCACTTGCTCCATGGGTATCTGGATGCGCCTCCCATCGGAAAGTTTCTCCTGTCTTAGGTGACGCCGCCTGCTGTGGGCCCAGCAGGAGGCGAAATCCCCCAAGCACTGCGTGGAAGTGCAGGAGAGGCCGAAGCACGCGCCCTGCGCGCGGGGGCGAGGAACTTGGCGCTCCAGCCCAAATTGCTCGAGGGGGGAGGAGGAGGAGGAGGAGGAGGAGGGCAAGGAGGAGGAGGAGGAGGAGGGCGGAGGACCTAGGAGGAGGGAGATGAGGAGGAGAAGGAGGAGGAAAAGCAGGGAAAGCCCACTTGGGACCACTCGACTCCTGGCCAGCAGCCTCATGAGTTTCCTCCTCCTCCTCCGTCCTCCCTCCTGCCCTGCTGCTTCTCCTCCTCCTCCTCCTCCTCCTGATCCTCCTCCTGCTCGTTCCCTCCCCTCGTCCTCCTCGTTCTCATCTTGCTCCTGCTCCTGCTCCTGCCCCTCCTCCTCCTCCTCCTCCTCCCACCCCCCCTTTCCCATCCCCTCCTTCCTCCTCCTGCTCCTCCTCCTCCTCCTCCTCCTCCTCCTCCTCCTCTCCTCGCCCCCCTCCCCCCCCTCCTCCTCCTCCCTCCCCACCTCCTCCTCCTCCTCCTCCTCCTCCTCTCCTCCCCCTCCCCCTCCCCTCCTCCTCCTCCTCCCCCCCTCCTCGTCCTCATCCTCCTCTCCCTCCTCCTCCTCCGCCTCCGCCTCCGTCCGCCTCCGCCTCCGCACCCGCCTCCCCTCCTCCTCCTCCCCTCCTCCTCCTCCTCCTCTTCCTCCTCCTGTTCGTTATTCCCCTCCTCCTCCTCCTCTCCTCGCCTCGTCCTCCTCCTCCTCGTCCTCCTCCTCTTCCTCCTCCTCCTCCCCTCTTCCTCCTCCTCCTCCTCCTCCTCCTCTTCCTCTTCCGCCTCCTCATCCTGCTCCTCCTCCTCCCCCTCCCCCTCCTCTTTCCCTCCTCCGTCTCCTCCTTCTCTTACTCCTCCTCCCCCCCTCCTCTCTCCTCCTCCTCCTCGCCCCCCTCCCCCTCCTCATCGTCCTCGTCGTCCTCGTCGTCGTCGTCGTCGGCCTCCCCCTCCTCCTCCCCCTCCTCGTCCCGTCGCCCCCCTCCCTTTCCTCATCCTCCTCGGCCTCCTCCCCCCTCCTCCTCCTCCTCCTTCCTACCCTCCTCCTCCTCGTCGTCTCGCCCTCGCCCCCCCCCACCCCACCCCGCCCCCCACCCCCTCCCTCTCCTGGCTCGTGCCCAGGGCGGCCCTTGGATGTTCAGCTTACACTCGACGCAACGCTGCCCGAGCAACGGGGGCCACGGCCGCGGCGGCCGTCTCTGAAATGAGCGGGGCGAGGGGGGCGAGGGAATTGTAAAGAGTGAAAGCGGCGAATGGGAAGAGCAGAGATTCGGGGGGCGGATCCGCCGGGCCGGCTCTCTCAAGGACGTCAGACTGGGGAGGGCGACCCGCGTTTCTGCTCACCAGATTCAGGAACAAAGGGCAAGTCAGGTAATGTCTCAAGCAATCTCGCCCCCCGTCACACCCACGGATACAATGAGCTTGGCCTTGAAATCTGCGGCTCGTGGCCCAGGCGCCGCTCAAAGTCCTCAGAGTGCCCCGGGCCCAAGCAGGGAGCCTAGAAGACAAAGAACTACGCGCCAGATCCCTGTCCACGGCGCGGATTCGCGGAGCGAGGCCAGGGAACCAGGAGGACAGCCGACGAGCGAAGGTCGAGGCGAGGACAAGGGGGAAGAACGAAGAGGCCAGAACACGCCCCAAGGCACGCTGCAGTTTGATGTTGTCAGTGCCGCGCTCCAGCGGGTCAGACACAAGCAGCTCTCTTACCGCAGAAAGTGCGGCGCGGCCTGCGATGCTCCAAGAAATCGAATTCGGGAATCCTGCCGAGGCCTCGCGCAGCTCTTCCACTATAGAGCGGCTCTTCCAGAAGTCTTGGCTGCGCTTGCTCTGGACATGCGCGACGACGGGGCGGTTCCTCTCAGCAGCACTCTTGAACTGTTGCCAGAAGGCAGGCCACTGAGGAAAAGCTATCATCGCTGATCTCACCAGCGACGCAAGACACGCCACACTCGCTGATTGTATTTTCGGGCCGCCCCACGCCACGAGCTCGAAATAATCAGAACGCGAGAGAGAACAGTGTGGGGCTTTGAACACCATGGCCAAAATGGCGCGCTCAGCTTTGGGGGGGGGGGTGGGAGGGGGGGGGGGGGGGTGGGGGGGGGGGGCAGGAACTGGACAACGTAGGAGAGGGTGGGGCAGCTCTTCGATCGTATCAATATGCCGCCACCGCGGTCGGAGGACAGGCGCTGGCGATGGCACAGCTTCGTTGTAAGTGTTTGGCCAGGGGAGCGGTCCAGAAATCCACTTGAACGGGCGGCCCTAAAATCAGGCCCAGGTAAGTACAAGACGCGACAATACGGAACGGGGCCCACTCGGGAAGGTTTTCACCAAGCCATCTCTGATATGTCTGCCGAGTGTGCTCACCGAATTCCCCCGGCAAAGGTACTGCGAAACACTTCTGGTGCTTGAGCACCAGGCCAGCAAACAGTTTAGCACAGATGAACATCTTGTGAAGAGATTTCAGCGCCTTGATGTCGTAAACTACTGCTCCTAAGTCGCCCGCGCACGCTCTGGCTACGCCGCTTTGGGCGCGCGAAGGGGGCGAGCCAGCTGAGCGAGGAAGGGGTGGGAGGCAACGGCGTGCAGGAGGCCAGAGGCTGGGCAGCCTCGGATTATTCCCGACGCAATGAAAAAAGAGCACTCGGGTTTGATCGGCCACGCTTCCGAAACGAACCACATTTTCATATAGTTGCCTGAAGAAGCGGCGGATGGGGTTCAGGGAGCGGATCAAGGGCGAGGGGGATCCATCTGCGCGCCACTGAAGGGAAAGCGCGGCCAACGTCAAAACTAATGAGGGATGGGGGGGAGGAGAGGCGGGAATCACTCATTCAGGCCACTCTCGATTGCATATCAAGTTTTACGATGGTTAGCCCATGAATTCGACAACGTACAAACCCTCTTTGCGATGCTTCAATCAATTCTGGGAGACGATTCGGCATCCCGAAGCAATAAGCTGAGGAAAAGATTGTCGTGTCCGTGTTTTAAGCCCAATGGTCTCGTTTGTGCGGGGCCCCTGCAACTGCCCTCGGAGTCGGAGGCCTCAGTTCCTTTGGGAATGAAGACGCCCTTCAGAGGATTGAAATCGCGCGGAAGATCGTGTCCTTCCATCTGCCATAACATCCGCTCAGCAGGAACTCTGTTGCCGCTGGGATGCCGTCTCCAAGCCTCATGCACTAGGCCGTCGGGTCCTGGTTCCGTGTTCGTGGCATATCTGGGTACCTTTTCAATCGTCCTCTGGGTTGGGGGCAGCGTATCCAGCAGGTTGGCGCGCGGAGCGAACTTCTCCAAGCAACGTCTAGCAGAGCCTGCAAAAATAGGATTGGCCGAAAACACCTGACCCCAATGCGCACCACGGCCTGCTAGAGTTTCGTCAGCACCTCTGGTAAAGCCGTTGGCCTGCTTGAGGCTCAGGAGCGGCAGACTGCGGTTGATGGGGGACCAACGCTGTCCCCTGCGGATCAGGCCCTCGAGTTTCCTTCTGGGCTTGGCTTTGGTGCGTTCGGGCGACACTTGAAGTTCGGCGCGGACTTGTCCCTGAGCTCGCTCATTCGCGTTGGAATGCTCGGCGTTGGACACTCTTAGGAACTCTTCACCGTGCAGGGGCCTCAGTTGCCCAGCACACCAATGTCCAGGAAACGCTTGCCCAGGGGATGGGGCCGATATACTTTCTGCGCCAACGCTATGTTTTGGTTCCAGACAGCCCTGGAGATAGAACGAAGGACCGTGAGGCGGGACAGCCGGTCGTTCGGGGAGCACACGATCATGCAAGTTCTCGCGTGCTGGGCAGCTGCTTTCACGAGGCGCTTGTGGTATGCGACTTTCAGCGGCGGGGGCAGCGGTGTCTCCTCGCAGTTGAGAGCGGCTTCCATGAACTGGCGGAATTCGTCTCTCTTGTAAATGATAGGCTGGTTCTCTGGGTCTCGCGGCCGACGGGCACCAATCGTGGTGGGCATCGCAGCGTGATCCGAAATAGCGGCTGCGCCCAAAACCTCAGGATACCCGTGTACTTCCCCACGCATGCGCACCTGAGAGATCGCCCAACCTGGGAACGAGACGAAAATCCGATCAAGGTTCGAGACCGTATTGTTAACGGCGCAGAAGTGGGTCGGCTCGTCGACCTGCACCTCCACAAACTTTTGAAACAAAAAAAAACTTTCCATCGCGAGGAATTCTGCTTACGCCAATCTTGAATCATAGCGGCATCAGCGGGATGGTCGAGAAGAGAGCGAGGCGGAGAATCAGAGATATTGAAGTCCCCAGACATCACTACCAAACATTGTTCGGGATGAGCGCTAGCGAGGGCGAGCTCGCGCGAGATGTATTGTTTGACATGTTCGAAATCCCCTGCTCGAGTATCATGATTGTGGATGTTGAAGTGGGAGAGAGCGAAGCCGGAGGGGAAGGAGAGCTGCAGCTGCAACACTCGACCTGGGATGAGCACCTCCTGGTGCACCACAGGGCGCTGAACGGCAGGAAGGTGTCGGACATCTGGGAAGAACGCGATCACTCCTCCACCTCGCATCGTGCCAGGTGCCCCGAAGGAGTAGATCGCATGATGAGGAACGTGCGCGTGGTGCAGGTAGTCCTCGATCTCCGCGTGGGCACCGCGGGGCTCTTGTACTGAGACTACCACGCCCTTGGTCAGCAGCTTGCGAAGATAGCTCAAACGTTTAGAACGCATCCAAGGCTTATGGTGAAATAGTGCCCTCGCATTCCAGGTGGCCAGATGCAAGGGAATAGGAGATGCGGCTGCCTTGGGGCCTGACCAGGGACGAGAAAATCTGCTAAAGACTCCATAGCTTCGGGTCCTCGGTCGGCGTGATGGCGTTCTCAATCCTTTTCTTGACGTTGGGGATGTCCAATCCAAGCGCCGATAAGTTGGTGATCGCCCATTGTACTTTGGGAGCCTGCCCCGGCCCCTGGTTGATAACTCTGGCCAAGGGTTTCCAAGTGAGAGAAATCGTATTCGTACTCTTGTCCACAAAGAATGGGTCTCCTGGCAATAAATGCTTGAACTTCTCTGCGTATGATTTTGCATGTGAGTTCGTTATTGACCATTGCCGCAGACTTGTCTGTGGATAATTATACTTCTGCCTGCTGTCCTGCGATGTCTGGGGCCTGGAAGCGACGCCATGAGTTCCTCCCCTGCCTGATGGCTCCCAAAGCCATGCCGACGCTTCTCGCAGCGTAACTTTGAACACCTTGGAATCGAAGAATGAACTGCTTTGCGGAATCATCACCTTCGATCTTCCAGTCTGTGTCGACCTGCATGTTGGCGGGCTGAAGCCACTCGGAGACCATGTTGGCGATCGCCTGCTTGTGGTGGGTCGACTTCGAGCGCACGGTGAGGATGGTCGGGTCGGGCTGTCGGCCGTAGTTCTCGTCTCTGGCGGTCGGCACGGCGGGGGTCTCCGTTCGCACGATACCCAACAACTCACGTAGTTCTTGCATCTGTTTTTGCATCGTGTCAATGCGGCGGTCTTGTTGATCGATACGAACTTTTGCCTGGTGTACTCGGATTTCCCTTATTTCAGAGAGGTGGGAATAAGAGCGGTTGACGGTGCCTGCCAAAGATTGCGCGCTTGATGTGATCCGTGCAATCGATGCCATAATATCATCTCTTGTCGTGTCCACGTGCTGTCGCAGTTCAGCCATCGGGTCGGAGGCGACTGGTGTGGACGGGGTCGCAGTACCAACATCTCCATGGATTGCGCCAGCTTCTGCTTGGTTGCCTGCATGGTAGGCACCACCACGGCCACGACTTTGACTGCGGTTCCTACGTTCGGCACGGGCGCCAGCCGAACCAGCAGAGCGAGGGCGAGAGCTGCCAGCGGCAAAGCCGTGGCCATTGCAGGCATCGGGAGAGGCAGACTGGAGTGCGGGAAAAGGATGTGGGGGATAAGTCAAATGAAGCTTTCGTTGCTGTGATGTGGCGGGCGCCTGCCCGCGGCGAAAAGCGGCGGAGTCCCAGGCTGGGCAGCCGTCTGGGGGACCCGCGGTCACGTCTGGACGCCTCCTCGCGGGTGGGGGAATCCACAAATGGCCTTGAGCCAAAATGGCTACGGACCTCCTCCTCCTCCTCCTCCAAATCCTCCTCCTCCTCCTCCGCCTCCTCTTCCTCCTCCTCCCCCTCCTCGTCCTCGTCCTCCTCCTCCACCTCCTGATCCTCCTCCTCCTCCTCCTCCTCCTCCTCCTCCTCTTCCTCCTCCCCCTCCTCGTCCTCGTCCTCCCCTCCACCTCCTGATCCTCCTCCTCCCCCTCCTCCTCCTCCTCCTCCTCCCTCCTCCTCCTCCTCCCCCCTCTCCCCTCTCATCCTCCTTCGTCCCCCACGGTTCCCCCTCCTTTCCGGACCTTTACCTTCAACGGCGACGACGCCGACGGCGCCGCCGACTGCAACGCCACCGCCACGCAGCGTCGCCCGCAGCGCGCGCGCGCGGCGTCCGCGGGTGCAGCGGGCGCCTGGCACGCCGTGGCGGTCGCCGCCGCCAGCGGGCGGCGGCGCCGGCCGGCGGCGGGTGCCAGCGGGCGGCGCGCGTCCTGCTCCGTTCTGGTGGGGGAGGCGCTATCGTGCGACAGATAGGAAGCAGCATCTGGGAACTCTTCGTAAGAACCATAATAAGCTACGCAATCCGATCCATGGGCAACAGTCAGCCGGATTGGTCCATATCCAACCGGGGATGAAAACGAGTGAAACGGTGTTAATACGGACCACGCGGAACGAAGCCGGATTACCTAACTTCGCGTTGGATCGGACAATTGCTTGATCACGGGTATATCAGCGCCGACGACGATTTCACTTTGCGGCGAATTACGTCCCAACGACAGGACGCGCAAAAAGCACATGCCCTGACACTCTGTCGCTGCGACAGGATCACAGCGAGGGTGTTTATGCATGTTCTTAACCCGGGGACCCCCAACAGACAACGCCACAGGACCGTAAGCAAATGCTCTGGCTTAAAAACCAGTCCCGAGGAAAAGGCCCAAACCTCTGGGTAAGCACGTTGCGATACAAAAACACGACGCCGGGGGCGTGGGCATGATCCAGTGTTTTGTTTGGCCCCGCAAAGGACCGAGTCGTCAAAACACCTGTGAACCAAACACGGTGGACAAAATGTCAGCCTTACACACGCGCAAATACCGCTCGCACCTCGACGTCACGCCTGGAGGCGTGTTCCCGACACGGGCAGAAAACCCAACCCTCCGACAGACTCATAACGGAACTTCGGATGTCGCCCCTTCAGTTCGGCGCCACCCCAGCCAAGCATCCACACGGAGTTCCCCCACATCTCCTGGCCTATAAGAAGCTTTGACATGCCTACAAGAAATACATGGGCCCATCCTTCGTTGACTGGACACTGCGGGCTCATCTGAAGCTAAGATAGTATCGCGGGTCAGACCGCGTTTCCTTCTGATACGCGTGCGCTTGCTGCGCAGCCAACGCGTATCATAATGAATAGCGGTATGAAGGCGAGCGCCGCGGAAGCCCGCACTGAAGCTCGTCGAATTAGGGATGGGCGCCCGACGGGCCGAATACGGAGGGATGCAACAGGTACCTTCGGATTTCCGAACACTGGGCCTGGGCAGAATGGGCAGGGACGCAAGGGGACTTTCGGGAAGGTGCCGGTTCTTGACATGCGCGGTGCTTGCGCTGCCTGGGGCATCGACCCGAAGGAAACGGCATCGGCTCCCCGACCGAGCGGAGAAGCCGCGCACTCCGTCCGAGAGGACTCTCCCCGTTGCAGATGTTGGCCAAGCGGCTCGCGGCCGCGAGGACGACGATGTCAATCCTGTCAGGCGCCTTTCGGTCGTCGGTCGTCGGGGTTCGAGGATCGAGGCTCTCAAGCTATCGTGCTGGTGAAGGCGAGGCCGGCCAAGGCTGTCATCGAGGCCCTCGTCGCAAAGGCCTTCGTTCAGAGGGCGCCGTTGCGTGAAGAACTCGGACGCGTTTGGGGTTTCTCATCGTGGGGCCAACGGGGGCAATGGCGAAGCGCACCAGCTCACGGGCTCGTGCGGGCGAGGGCGAGGGCATGAGGGTGAGGACGCAAGACCGTCAACAGCGACAGCACAAACGCCTTTTCCTCCTCCTCCTCCTCCTTTTCCTCCGCCACCTCGTCTTCATCACCATCATCATCATAGTCATCAGCATCAGCATCAGCATCAGCATCAGCATCAGCATCATCATCATCATCATCATCATCATCATCATCATCATCGTCATCGCAAACGTCATCATCATCATCATCATCAGCATCAGCATCAGCATCAGCATCATCAGCATCATCATCATCATCATCATCATCATCATCATCATCATCATCATCACCGTCATCGTCATCATCATGGCGCCCTGTTTTTCGGCAGTCGCGCGCCAAGGCCATATGTGCGCGCATTGGCGCGAGCGCCAGACCTCGCCCCCACCAGCCGCTCCGCGATGTCGCCCAGCGACCCCTGGCATCGGGCCACAAGGGCCGCGCAACGCGGTCGCTGGGCCACAAGGGGCCGCAAAACGAGCGTCGGGCCACGAAAAAGGCGCACGACGCAGGGGCGCCTCCCACGGCCGGCCCCGAAGGGGCCGCACAGAGTGGGAACCGCGCCGGCCCCCTTCGGAGGCCAAAGCGAGGGGGCCAACGGCGCGGTGGGCCACGGAACGCTATCCTGCCAGCGGCAGGGATTGGGAATCCGGCCTCGAACCTGACCCAGGGTCAAGGTCAACGCGGCCCCACAGGCCCAGGTCTCAGAGACACTCACCTCCACCCTCCCTGCGCGAGAGACCTGAGAGCAACGCGCAGCGGAACGGGCGACGGTCGCGCCCGTGCCCTAAGCCGAGACGGCAAGAGACGGCTGGGGGCAGCTTGTAGGCCAGGCCCCTGGGCCCAGACAGCTGCGGAAGACGCCGCCGAGCCCCCTCAAACATTCCCCGCCATACTGCTGTGTAGTATGGTAGACGAAGAGCACATCCATCATGGCGTCATTTTTGCCGGCGGTCGCGCGCCACGGCAAAATGCGAGCGCGCGTTGGCGCGAGCGCCGGGTCTCGCCCCCGCCAGCCGCTCCGCGACGTCGCCCAGCGCCCCCTCGCATCGGGCCACAAGGGCCGCGCAATGCGGCCGTCGGGCCACACGGGGCCGCAAAACGAGCGTCGGGCCACGAGGGGGCCGCGCAACGCAGGGGCGCCTCCCACGGCCAGCCCCGAAAGGGCCGCACAGAGTGGGGACCGAGCCGTGCCCCCTTGGGAAGCCAACCCGAGGGGGCGAGCGGCGCAGTGGGCCACGGGGCGCTATCCTGCCAGCGGCAGGGATGGGGAAATCGGCCTCGAACCTGACCCAGGGTCAACACGGCCCCGCAGGGCCATGTCTCAGAGACACTCACCTCCACGCTCCACCATGCCCGCTCCTGGCTAGCACGCGGCGAACTGGAGGCAGTCGTCACGATGGGCCCCATCGAACATACTGCGCGCGGGCTACCCTAGGGAAGCGCGAAAAACACCTCCCCTGCCCCAGGATGGCTGGCTAGCCGCTTCGACCACGACCTCTTTGAACATCTAAATTTCCACCGCTTCTTCTGGAGAGAGGTGGCTTCCTGGAGCTTCGCGCCTGTATCGGTGATGTAGATGCGCGTCGTTTTAATGTTGGCCCAGCGCCCTCTCTGGGCGGTGCCATTGATGTCCCCCTTTCACACGGCAGCGACGCGCGTCTCCGCCTCGACCCAGGCCGCGCGGTTCGAAGCCGCGCGCTGGCAGCTGGAGCACTCGGAGAGAGCCATAGAACAACCTGCGACACTCAAGGGGCGCTTGGGCAACCAACGGGCCCCCTGGGAGAACCTGCCGAAGGGCCCGGGAAAGCTGCCGCACCAAAATGGCGTCATCGACGCTGACCATCTCGCGCTGACTTCGCCGCTGGCCAAACTTCGCGAGACGAAGATTGGTGACGACACTTTTTCCCGTCTGTGCGATCGCACTGCTGCCCTTACGAATCGCCCAAATCCCGCCCGTTCGTAGCGCGCAATGAATCGCGACTCGGCGAGCGCGGAACGCCAGCGCCCCGCGTCGCACAGTTCGCCTGCAACTGCCAGCACCGCCGCTTGAGTAAGCGGCGGCGCCCGCTCGGGCAATTCTATTTTGCCCCAAGCGGCTTTCAGGCGCCGCGCTGACGGCAAGTGATGCCTGGCGTCTGGAGCGAAGCGTTGCACCGGTGCGAGAGCGTAGGCCGCCCAGCCCTTCGGCTCACCCTCTCCCCAGAGGTACTCCGCCCGCGCTGCCTGCCTCGCCCCTTTCGCGCCCTCGGCGCGACTTGATCTCAGCATCTCAGCACCCGCGGCGCTCTGCTCAAAGCGTCGGCGGGATGGCCCACCGGGCGCGCAAAGAAGGGCGCGCAGAAGGTCGCGAGGCACTGGGCATCGAGGCGGGACAGGACGGCGTTCTGGCGGCGTGATGACGAGCGGCCCATCGCAGCGACCGCCACAGTCACTTGCGAGTCCACGAAATTACAGGCCCTCGATCCGAGGGCTCAGAAGTGGCACATTCTACCTTAGCGCATTGTGAACCATCTGCAGCTCCAGCTCGCTGGCGGCAGCCCCAGCTCGCTGGTGCGGCGCGAGCGATGGAACCGCATCGCCACTGCATGCCTCTAGCACCAGCGGCGTTGGTCAACGCTGGCCCTCGGCCAGGCATTGTACCGATACGGCGTCCCAATGTCCAGCCTCGCACGGCTGCCGTGATGGTCCGCTCGGCGGTGCATCTCAAGCATGAGGCTGTGCATGAGCCCCTGCGAACTCCGCTCGCTCGTCGGCTGCGCTTAGGCACTGAACCCCCGCCTGGCGGGCGTCTCACGATCGAGCCGCCGTTGGTCCAGCACGTAGGCCTTGCGCCTCGCCGCGCACGTGTAGAAGGCAGCCTGAATTAACGACGGGGTCGGCGGGTGCTCCGGGAGCTCGGCGTGGCACAGGGGCTGGCCGGCCAGCTGCGCCGTGACCCCCGCGTGGAACGCGTTCCCCAGCTGCGAACACCGTTCGCCCTCGAGCTGCTGACGTTCCCAAGGCCCCATCCTGCGCAAGTCCCTCTTGCCCGCGAGAGTGCGCCCAAGCCAGTGCCCCATGGGCCTCCCCCGCTCGGCAGCCGCGGGAACGGGCGGGCCCCGCCCGCCGATGCGAAACTGAGGCTAATGCTGGCAAGGTGCGAGCATGCGCCGATCTTCGCTCCGCCCGTGCTCGAGGGCGATGGCGTCGCGCCCCATGGGTTCCTCGAGGGTCAGCTCCTGGGCCCCTCCGAGGGGCAGCGCGCGCGACGGTGGGCGACCTCTGATCCTGAGGCACATCCCAGACCCGACCTTCCTCGGGCCAGAGCTCGCGCGGCTCCGCCATGAGCGACCCCAGCTCGACGAAGTCTGCGACGTCTCCTTCGGTCATTGCGGCGCCTTCCGTTTCGAGGGCGGGGTCGCTGGCCCAGCAAGGGCGCGGCCTCGCCACGGCGGACACCGCCGCGTAATCACTGCGCCGGGGGTGCCTCGCCATGGCCTCCGACACGTCGGCAGCGTCGCTGATTCTCATCGGGGCCGCGTTCTCGCACAAGTCGAGGACGTGAGCGTCGTGGAACGCGACCCTCAGCTCCGCCTGCAGCCTCGGGACCTCGAAGAACAGCGCAGACAGAGGATCGGCGAGCGTAGAGCCACGCGGTCGCGATCTGACTCCCTGGCAAGGAGGGCCGCGGGCGCCAGGCGCGGCCGCGGCCCCGGGACAGGCCCGGCGCAGGTCTCCGAGCTCTCGACAGGCAACATTCCGCACGTCGGACCACTCGGCGTCGCCAGGCCGGTTCCTGCGGTAGACACCTCGGGCTGCTTTGTCGGTCTCCGCATAGCCAGCGTGTAGCACGCGCAATCCGAGGCGGCCCACGCACCCTGGGCCCGCCGATCCCGTCGAAGAGCTCCACGACCGCGATCCCGCGCTCATGCAGGGCGACGGGGGCCAAGACCTGATGCTGCGCAACCGCCGCCCCCTCATCGATGAAGCTGATTCCCACATAGACTCCTCCGCCTTGCTCCGAGGCATCGGAGACAATCGGGCGGCAGGCGAGCGGTCGGCGCATGTCGGCGACCAGCATCGGCAGGCCATCATGCACATGACTAGCTCGTCCCTCACTCGGTCTCCGAGCTGCGCTCGGCTCGATGCGAAGTGCACCCTGCCCATCCACCGCCGCGCTTCGTCGAGGCAGCGCACGGCTTGGCGCCGCGACGTGTAGTTGGACGCCCAGCGGTCGCGCATGGCCTGCGTCTCGACGAGGCTCGGGTCCTGCTGGTCCAGCATCCAGTCCGCGAGCGCTCCGTGCTCCAGGATCTTCAATGGGCAGCGCGGCCCGCCCCGCGAGAGCGCCCGCGCCCGCGCCCTCGCGAGGCGCGCGGGTGGAGCGGGCGACCCCCTTCTTGATCGGGGCGGGGGCCCGCGCGGCCTCCAGCGCTCGCCGCAGCGCGGCCTGGTGCTCGCGAAGTGCCCCCCTGCAGTCTCTGCCATTCAGAGGCTTTCGCGAACTCCGTCTTCTCAGCGTCGTCGACGCACGTGCTCCAGCCCCGCCTCTAAGCAGGATTCTCACGGACGGGGAGAGGCTGGTCTCGCCGCAGCTCCAGGCTCGCAGCCAGCCTCGCGCCGGCCCTCAACCCGTCCGAAGCAATCTGGCCGTGCACGTGCTGCGCCACTCCAACCGCCGACAACCACCAGTCGGTGTGACCCTCGCGCAGACGTACATCTCACGGTATTCTGTGGCATTGATCCATCTCCTCCGCGGCTTGGATAAGGTAGACCAGCGCCACCAGCGAGCTGGCAGAACGCACGATTGAAAACACCCCGAGATGTCGTCCCCAGAGAAGAGAGCAACCCCGTCGTTCACCAGCACAGCCTGCGCGCACTCTCCATGGAAAGGGGGCTTGTCGATACCTCACATGATGAGGGACTGACCAGCGCTCGTCGGCGCAAGGTTGGCGATCAGACGCTGCTGATGGTGATGACCCTCCAGCGCATCGCCACTCTTCGCCACGCTGAAGGCTCCGTTGCCTATTCGCTTCTCGTGAGTCACAGGGACGTGAGCCTCCTCTGCTTCCGCTGGGAGCCCACGGCCAGCAGCTGCCCAGTGACGCACTCCCACTCGTCATCGTCGCAGTGCACCGTGGCTGGCCCCACCTCAGGCCACTCATCAAGTGGCAGGATGAACAGCTCTTCGCGCTCGGGGGCGCAGCGCACGGCGTCGCTGCAGAAGTTGACCGCCTCCAGGTTGCCGCGCCGCTCCGCGGGTGGAAGCCCTTGCCCGATCTGCGCCCGCGTCGGCTTCTCGGGCTTAGCGACGACGCCATCGCCATGCCCGAAGACAGGGGGCTTGGCAACATCACTCCAAGCGGTCCGCTGCAGCTCTGCCCCAGCCCCATTGCGAGAGCAAAGATGCAAGGCCGCCTCTCCCACGCGCTGCACCGCCTCCTGCTGCGCCGCAGTGCACCGAGGAGCATCCGACAGGCACCTGTCAGCGATGAAGCCATGATCCCCGCGCAGGTAGTTCAACGCCTACAAGCGCGCCCAGGCCCCGGCGCCAAGCCCCCAGCGGAAGGAGCGCCCCTCATCGCCACGATGCAACATCACGCACCTGGGATCGTTCAGATGCTGGAACAAGGCCTCGACGTGCTCACCCGCGTTCGGCGTAGTCATGGGCTGGGCGTCCCGCCTCCGCGAGGCATTCTCGACCGAGTGGCGCGCCGCGTTGAACGCCCGCCTCGCCCGCTTGCCCATCCGCGCGTCTGCGCGCAGTTGGCGATATGCACATCGAGGTTTTGCAGGTTCCCCAGGGCCTCGCCCTGCACCCGCGCGCCAGGCTCGAAAGTAACCTCATTGATGGTCGGGGCTGCCGCGCGCATCGCCTGTCTCAGCTCTTTCGAGGGCCCTTTCTGTCGCATGAAGCCGCCACTTCCCAAGCTCGGGCGCCAGGAAGGTCGCTGCTGCTGCTGCATGTTGTGCCACTGCGTGCCCGACCTGCTGCCTGGCGCCGCGCCTGCTGCGGCCTGAGTCTGAGTCCACGGAGTGAGCAGCGCTGCCCTGGCCCGGGGCGGTGGGGGCGGCGCAGAGGGTGGCTGCGCCGACCTCGACGCGCCCTTGCCCTGGCCTGGCTGGTCCGCCTGGCGGGGCTCCTATGATTTCGGCTGTGCCATTGCCTTCGCCGTCGGGAGAGCGACTCTCCGCCTCCGCCGACTCTTCCTGGGCTTCGCCCTCGCTCCGCTCGCCCGCCGCGGCGTCTCCGTCGGCGGTGGGCCCCGATGGGGCCGCGGCCCCAGTTGGCTCTGAATCCGCTCGAGCTGGCGGGCCGCCCCCCGAGGCACTCGCCGCCCGAACTGTCGCCGCGCTCGTCTGACGGGTCACTTCGGGCTGGGCGGCCCCCCGCCCGAGGCTCTCGATTCTCCAGTGGGGCTTCTCGCTCTTCTAGGCCTTCTCCTCGATCTCCGCGGGCTTGGCCATCTGCAACTACAGCTGGCCGACGAGTATGTCCCCCGACGGGGCTGCGATGCCGATCGCGCGCGGGGATGCGCTCGCACGGCGCCGCTAGACCCTGGCTGCCCCCGTTTGCGCTGACCTCGCAGCTCTTGAACCCCCGCGCGCGCAGGTCGGCGACTCGGGGGGGGGGGTCGCCGAGGAGCGCGCATCGAGCACCTCCGCGAGGGCCCTCATCGCCTGCCCCAGCTCCCCCAACTGCTCGGGGGGATGGACAGCGTGAATCACTGTCGCGAGATACGTCACGAATCTGGCTTCTGGGAGGATGGGCCCCGCGGCCGCGGCCCCCCTCGTGTGCTCAGATAGCGTTCGATCTCCACGATCGCCAACTACGACAACTCTGCCCGTTGCTCTCTTTCGCATCACTACCCGGATCTCCGCCAACGGCGACGCTCAGTCTCGCGCCAGGCCTCGGACGGCGGCCCCCCTCAGGCGGGTCGGCTAGGACCTTGGCCCCACGTTGCGCAACCCGTTCCGCCGAGATCTCGCCAATCCCCGCCGACGCGGCAGCGCCTCGAGCGTCTCTCTGGCTCGTCGGCCCATCGGGCTTGAGCTTCGCTCGCAGCTCCGCGAGGCGCCCGCCAAGGTCATGACCGCGAGAAGAAACAACACCGTTTTCCCTGGGGACGTCGTGGCGATCCTCGTCGCCACCGAATATCGCCGCTCGCCCTGCAGGATCGCCCTTCGGGGCCTCGCCCCGCTCGCTCCCCGCCGGCGTCGGGGGGCCCTCGATGGGGAACTGGGGCGGCGCTCGAGGTGCGTCGAGATTGGGCCGCAACCGATGCGAATCGCCGTGGACCAAGGCCCGACCCTTGTCAGGAGTCTTCACCACGTAATCGCCCGCGGCCCCCTCGCAGAAGCGCAACAGGCCGTCTCCGCTGGGGCCGCGAAGCATAGCAGCAAGGGCGGCTGCTCCCGACCCCTTCTTCACCTCGTCCATGAACTCGCCCTCCGGGTAGCAGCCGTTCCGCGCGTTGACAATGAACGACCCGCCCCTCGCGGACATGGCGAAGTGCTTTGCGGGGCCCTGGCGCTCGACCCTGCGATCGACCATCTCACCGTCGCACACGGCCATGAGAGGAATGTGCCAGTCGCTCCCGGCTTGCCGCGGCGGTCTCTGGGCTTCCGCAAAGATCGTCTTCGGTGCCCTGAGCCCAAGCTGGCGGCTTGACCCGCTCGCCGTCGTGACCCAGGCGCCTCTGTGGCAGGCGGCCAAGGCCACGCGTCGGGGCCGCTTCCCCGCCGCCCTCAGGCGGGAGGCCGCGGGGGCAATGGCGGCCGGGCACGGCCGCGACTTCGGGCCGCTGGCGGCGGTCAGGGGCAGAATGGCCGATAGGGCAACGATCAGGGGTCAGTTTGAGGGGCAACGATAAGGGGGACTGGCATAGGGGGGGATGCATCGACCTGGAATCGGCGATACATCGCCGATAGATCGGCGATTGGCCCCTGGAAGTGAATCCGCACCTTCCTGGACATGTTGGGGCTGTCGGGCCCCTATCGGCGATCAATGGGCGATTGCGCGTCGATGCACCCCGCCTTTGCCTATCCCCCCCTATCGTTGCCCCTGATAGTTGGGGGCCGACATTGAGGCCTGGGCCCCTGGGCTGGCGTGCCAGAGGCGCCGGCTGGCTGGCGGCCGGAGGAGCGCGGCCTGCAGGCGACGAGGCGGGCGCTGCTGGAGGCTCGGGCTCGCAGAGAGGCTTGGGAGCTGGCAGCGCGCCGGGCCACCTTCGGGCATGCGGCGGCTGGCGTCGACCGCCGGGCCACCCGGCGGGCCCTGCAGCACGCGCGGCTTGCCGCTGACGCCGCGGGCGCGCTGCGCACGGTGGTGTCTGGCAACGTGGTCAGAGAGTGTGGCTTCGGAGTGGGGCCGCCTGGCGGGCTGCCCGCACTGCGGCGCGCCGCTGGAGGACGCCCAGCACCGTTTCTGGGATTGCACGCGCTGGGACTCAGCGCGACGCGCCGCCTTCGAGGCCACAGGGCTCACACCCGAGGCGGCGCGGGCTTGCTTGCCGCCAGAGGTGTCCTTGACGGGAGTCCTGCCGCGGTACGCGCGGTTGGCGGCTCTTGCCGACCAGGCGACGTGGCCGCTCCCGGCGCCAGCGCTGCCCGGCCTGGCCGCCGCTGCTGCGGGGGTCGCGGGCCCGCGGGCGCGGGCGTGGACCGACGGCGCTTGCGCTCGCCCTGCTAACCCTCTGCTAGCCAGGGCTGGCCGGGGGGCGCGCGTGGAACACCCTGCTGGCACGACGCTGGAACGCGGGGGGCCGGTCGATGGCGAGCAGACCGCGCAGCGCGCCGAGCTCTTGGCTGCCATGCAGGCGCTTGGGCTGGCTGGTGGGCCAGTGGAGGTCATCGCGGATTCGAAGTTCGCGAGCAACGGCGTGGCGGCGCTCCGGGGCGGGCCAACGCTCATGGAGCGGTCGCACGCCGACCTCTGGGACCAGCTGGCCCCTTACTGCAGGGCCGACTGGCTGAGGGCCCGCTGGGTCAAGGGCCACTTGGACGAGGGGGAGGCGCGGGGGGGGGGCTCTCCCCCGAGGACCACGCTAGCAACGCGGAGGCCGACAGACTAGCTGGCTTGGCCGCGCGGGCGCGCCTGCCCGCCCTGACATTGCTGCAGCAGCGCGAGCGGCAGCTGCAGGCGCTGGAGGGCGTCCAGCGGGCCCTGGCGGCGGTGGAGCTGGCGGCCCTCAAAGCCAACCACGACTGCACCGCGCCAAGTGGGCCCCGGGCGCGGTGCCGATGGACAGCCGGCAAGCCAGCGACGCGCGGCGGCCGCCAGCGGCGGGCCGCCGCTGCAGGCGCCGCCAGCCGCGCCGCAGGCCCCGCAGCCGCTGCGGCACCTGCTGCCGCAGCCCGCGGCGGCGGCGGCCGCCCAGGCGCTCTTCGGCCGGCGATCCTGGAGGGCCCACGCTGCCTCGCAGGGGCCGGGCTGGGTAGCCTGCCTGTGCGGATGCACGGCGCCGCGGTGGGGCGCCCTGGCTGCTCGCTCATGCGTTGGCTGGGCTCCCGCGTTGCCGCCGCGCGTGGGCGCGCTGCTCCTGCTGCCGCCTGCGCGGGCCGGAGGCGACGAGGGCGCTTGGCGGGCGGTTTTGCGGGCCCGCCTGGCCGCGCGCGCGGGCGCGCCTGAGGCGCCGAGCTGATTAGGCGCGGCGACTGGCCCCCTCTCCTCCCTCCCTCTTCCCCCCCTGCCTGCTTTCCTCGCCACAGGGCCCCCCTTGCGCTTGTGAAAAAAGTGTACCAATCGCTCGGGTCGCTCGTCTTCCACGGCTCAAGACGTCTCACCTCGGGCTCCGTCCTCGCTCGGGCCAGGGCGGCGGCGGCGGCCTTGCCCACAGGTTTCGGGCGGGGAGGCGGCCCCTCGTCATCGACGAGCACGGGTACATCACCTGGAGGCCTGCTCTTCCCCGTGTTCCGACGCATCTTCTTCGCCCTGACCTCGCCGCCCTCGTCATTGGCTGCCGCTGGCCGCTTGAGCGCACCGCCGGCGGCGGGTCGAAACACCGAGGCAGGGCGGCCCTTCTTGATCATATCCACCCCGCGGGCGGTTTTGACCCGCCCCTCGGGCGCGCGGGGATCCCCCGATCCTTGCCCGTAGGCGACCTACGCCTCGAAAGGCGGACCCCAGGTATTCGGGGTCTAGCCGAGCGGCGCGCCCCCTCCGCGCTCGCAGCGAGCCTCCACCACGAGGCAGTATGGCCAGCCGCGGGCGCCCGCGCGCGGTGCACCGCGGGAGGGGGCGCGCCGCCCCAGCATTTGGGCTCACTTGAGCCCAGACAGCTACAGAAGAAGCCGTCGAGCTCCCTCAAACATTCCCCGCCTCCCGTGCAATATCGCTGACCAAGAGCACATCCATCATCATCATCATCATCATCATCATCATCATCATCATCATCATCATCATCATCATCATCATCATCATCATCATCATCAGCATCAGCATCATCATCATCATCATCATCATCATCATCATCATCATCATCATCCTCATCCTCATCATCATCATCAGCATCATCATCAGCATCATCATCATCAGCATCATCATCAGCATCATCATACCCTTCATTCCAATCCTGTTCCTGCTCCTGCACCTGTTCCTTCTCCGCATTCTCCTCAACATCCCCCTCGCTCTTTCTCCACCTCGTACTCCTCCAAGGCCGTCCGCGGCGACAGCACAACCGAAAACCAGCCGATCCGACAGCGAAACCGAAACCGCCCTAAACCAAAAGGCCGCAAGCAACCTGGGAGGGCACCGCGACACAACAACAACACAACAGCCGACCGAACCGAACCGCCCGAACGCAACCGACTGCGACGCAGCCGAACCGACCTGACCGCGAACATCCTCAGGACGCCAGGAAGAGCGCGAGGA